TGGGAAACTTTTTTATTATCAATTTTACGAAAAAAAGTTATTCTTTATAAAAGTTTCTGCTTCTTCGAAAGATAGTATTAAACTTTTAAAACTTGAAATAGCATGTACAGGGTGTTCAGAAAATAGAAAAATATACAGGGTTTTTCCGAAGTACGGTTCATAACTTCAGGGTGCGATTCCTTACAATATTTTAAGAACAAAAGTTACCATAAGTATGGGTTAAAATTAAAGGAAAATATTGCTAAGACATACGTTTGAAAAACCATAGCAATCTTTGATTGTTTTTTTTTTTTTTGAAGACCCGATATCTATGCTTCGCTGATAGGTAGAATTCAGAGCCTTTTGTACTCTTTCCACGTATTTGAACCATTTTGTTGGATCATCCATGCTCAATTTGGTTAGTACAGGGATTATGGTCTGATTCACTCGCTCCACTTGACCGTTGCCTCTAGGGACCCCTGTTGTAATCAAAATATGTTGTATTCCCTCATCTTTGCAATAGTCTTCGAACTCCTGTGCCGTAAAGGCGGTTCCTCTGTCACTGATTATTCTAGAAGGATTTCCATAATCCTTCTGTTGTCTCCTTAAGCAATTCACTGTTTCCTTTGCGGTCGTCGATTTGGTTGGGTAAATCCAGGTGAATTTTAAAAAGTCATCAACTATTAATAATATGTGTAATTTTTGCTTGTCGAAGCCAATGAAACAAGATGGTCCATATGGTAGGTTCACAGCGGATACACATTTTTAGAAATTGGGTGGAGCAATCCCTCTTTCTTTCTTTCTTTTCTACTTCCTAATATACAATATATACAATTCCGAATACATTCCTGTATTTTCTCTTTTAGCCTGGGTATGTAAAATTCTCTTGTTATCATCTCCTCGGTTTTGTTTACTGCAAAGTGTCCAACGTCATGCATTTTCCTAATGATTTCTATCTGCATTTTCTTGGGTATGACCAGTAATTTTTTAGCATCTTCATACTTATACAATATTCCATTTTCCAGAAAGAAGTCATCATATTCCTCGGTTATTGATATTTGTTTAATAGCTCTTATGTCATCTTTTTCTTAAGCTTGTGTTATGCGTTGTATCATGCCATCATGCCATCTTTGGGTGTTACTTCATTTAGAGTCATCATCATCGGCGGATTGCGGCTGAGCGCGTCTACATGGGCTATTCTTGTTCCTTTTCTGTGAATGCATTCAAAATCATATTCCTCCAGTAGCAGAGCCCACCTCGCAACTCTAGTAGTCAAGTCCTTTTTCGCCAAGGTTTTTTGGAAGGCAAAGCAGTCGGTGATAATTTTGAAATGTATTCCCAGAATTTAGACCCTAAACTTTTTGACTGCCTGTATGATAGCTAGAACCTCCAATTCATAACTATGATACTTTTCTTCTGCAGGCGTCGTCTTTTTGCTCATATAATAAATCGGGAGGAATTTATGGTCATCGTCTAGTCTTTGCATCAAACATGCACCATATCCGTATGCAGCTCTGTTTCGCGGCCTTGGTGGTATATTGCTAAAACTGGCTGTGTTGGTAAAAGCTCTTTTAACTTCAAAAATGCCTGCTTCTGTTGTTCTTTAAATAAAAAGGGATGTTCTTTTATCAAGAGGTTACTTAATGGTTTGGCTACAACCGCATATGCAAGAATAAATTTCCTAAAGTAGCCGGTAAGTCCCAGAAATGAATGCACCTTTTTATGGGTTGTGAGGAAATTTCCTTATAGCTAACGTTTTCTCATCAGACGGTTGAATCTTTCCATTTTCGATTATAAACCCCAGAAAATTAGCCCTTTTCTTCAAAAATTGACACTTTTTCTTCTTGATCTCTAAGCCATATTCTTTAGCAACATTTAACACCATCTCAAGCCATTCAAGTCCTTCTTCTTCTGTTTCACTGAGCACTATCACATCATCCATGTAATATAGAGCTAAGTATGTTCTTCGCCATTAAGTCCCTGAAAATATGGCTGACGAATCTTTGAAATACCGCACGACTGTTACACAGGCCGAAAGGACATCTCAAAAATTCGCACTGTCCATTAGGAACTACAAAGCCCGTATACTTAATCGAGTCTTCATCTATAGGCACGTGGAAAAATCCATTCTTCAGATCAATTGTACTGAAGAATTTTGCTCCCTGCAATTGGTCCATCACATCCTCTATAAGCGTTAAAGGAAACTTATCCTTTATGACGTTGCTATTTAGTTTTCGGAAATCGCAACAAATTCTTAATTGTCCATCTTTTTTCCTCACCAAGACTACAAGACAGCAAACTCGGATGAACTGGGTGGGATTATTCCCTCATTCAACCACTCCTCTAGTTGCTTATCAACTTCGATTTTCTCAGAAGGCGAAAGTCTTCGTGGTCGTTGGTAAATTGGCTCTTCCGTCTTCAATAATATCTTCTTCTTCTCTGGTTTATAGTTTCCCACCAATTTCAACAACCTTTCTCTATGTTCACTATTTTGTAAATGACTGACATCAATTTCATCTTGACTTGGACTTTCATCAGTATTTATCAACATCAAAACATTCTCATTTTCCTTTTTATAGACTTGTATCCCATCTTCGTTAATCCGTACTTCTGCTTGCATTAACAAATTATTCCTAACAATAGCTATGAAACTTATTGAATCTTTTGGAACAACGTGAATCTTCAATCTAACTGCAGCACAGTACTGCTCAAAAATATCTTCTCTAATTGAAGAAATGTCGCTGCCAGTATCGAATAAAGCTGTCAATTTCACGCAATTAATCATCAAGTCAACAGAAAATTTCGGAACTACTTCGATCAAGTTAACTCCTCTACTTGTTCCAGAGCCCTCTCCTGCTGTCTTAGGACATTTAGTCGAAATGTGTCCAAAACCTTGACAACTAAAACATTTGGTGCCTTTTGCTTCATCAGGACAACTAGACGATATGTGTCCTCTTCTTCCGCAATTAAAACATTTTGTCGGTGTCCCTTTTGGTTCACTTTGTCCTTCCTTCTTAATTTGTTTCTGTAAATCATTCTTCTCGTTTTTTCCACTCCATTTTTGCTTATTCATCTGATTATTTGCCTTTTCTTTCGACTTCACCTGTTCATATAGCTTAACTTTCTCTTAAAACTCCCTATAAGTCCTTGCATCATACAACAAAATTTTATTAGCTGACTCGTCTTGAATCCTGTCCAAAATATACTGAATAATAATCTATTCGTCCAGCATGGCACGGCTATCAATCTCCCTCATTACCAGAGTATACTCCTGAATGGTCTCCATTGCCGTCTTCCTTGTTTGCATTAACATCTTATGCCTTTGAGCACTGCTAACGGTCACTTCAAACTCACTCATCAACTTTTTCTTCAACACGGACCAAGACTTAATCTCCTTCTCGGTCATTCTCGGATTGTATGGCATTATTGTTTTTTTAATAAATTTGTCATTTTTGCTTGAGTAAATGCCTTTTTCGGTGGGCGAAGATAGCGGAATAGTGAAAATCATAGCCGTCTTTGATTTACGAAAACCCAATATCTTTCAATGTCAACTCTTAAAACAAGTACCCACACAGTGGCGGACATAGGACCTTTGGGGCCCGACGCAAAAATTTTTTTGGGGCCCTGTCATGCTTTTTTTTAGGTATTTTTCTTGTGGTGTTGGGCTGTAAAGTGAGTGTTCAGAAGTTATTTATATTTTTGAAGTTTTTAACAACCAAATAGGTATAGAAATAAATTCAATCAAAAAACAAGTTTATGAAGAACATATGAGACAGAGAACAAGTTAAACGAAAAAAAAAATTATAAAAATTCAGGAACTTTTTATCTAAACAAAAAGAAATACATCATAGTAGTACCGCACTGCACTGATACTGTCCGAACTCCACCGACAAGTGCCATAAATTATCTGAGTCTGGAAGACAATAGGCAATTTTGCGAGGATAACCAAGCATAATCTTTTGCTGGATTATATGATGTGTCATTTGTGTCATACTTCCCTAACTCCCCCACAATCAAATTCTGGGATACTCGAGGATCAAGAACACCTAATTTCTTCTGAGAGAACAGACCGAAAATCACCTTTTCTACATTTGAAATCGACGAAAAAATTAACTCACTAGCACAACCTGAATCGCAAGCATTCCATCGAGGTCTGCGGGTGACGTCATCACTACAAACGGCTGATAGTAGTGACGTCACTCGCAGGCACAGAATTTGATGTAGAGGAAGTTAGTTAGGGGAGTATGATACAATTGACACATCACATAACCCAGCATAATCAGATTATGCTTGATTATCCTCGCGAAAAATTGCGTAATAGCTAAAAAAGCCGCCTAAAGTCGACGCGTCCGCGGTTGCCGCATTATCGCGTCGAGTGCATCAGGGCTGGGATCACGACATTCTACTACAATTTCTCTTTTATGACGTCAGGTTGTCTAACAATTGTCATCATCGCCTGTACTGTACGCGATAAATGTGTCGCGGATGACGTCATGAAAGTGGAATTCTATTTGTCATGATTCCAGCCCTGGATTCCCTACAGGGCCTTTATTGTCGAAACAGGAGATAAGCGTTCTGTCTTAGTTGCCCATATTCCTATTTTCATAACACTGACAAAGACGGAGCAATCGTTCTTTCTCGTGAGAACGCTGTTCCCCGGTTTCAAGAATAGGCATCCTGGTATACAACGTTGCCGTCTCTTTCAAAATTTAATTTTCGTTTTTTTTTTATATCTACGAATTTTTTTTTTATTTGTTTTTATCGGTCCCTTTAGAATCTGGTTGCTTCATGCTAGATCCGCCACTGTACCCACATATTACAATACAATCAATAACCAATCAATAGATATTGATAAGGGCTATTATTGCAAAATAACTTCAACATTTTCAATAACTGCCTTTTCTCGAGTCCCATCTCCACTCTGCCGCTGGTTGTTAATTCAGCACCATCCCTAGATAGATATTATACTTCTTTAATATTTACAAATACCAGTGTAGGTAGCTATAACAATTCTTTTTTAGGCCAAGAGCACTTTACTGGTACCATCGACCACAGCCGCAATTATAGGAACTCAGAAAAATTCAGGGGCAAAAGAGTGCTAGTGATTGGAGCTGGTTCTTCCGGCATGGATTTGACTATGCATGTTTCAACCGTAGCGGAGCATGTAAGTGATAACTAACCATATTCACCTGAGAAATAATAAAGATTTCGAATTTCATAGGTAACATTAAGTTATCACGCTCCTGAAAGAATTAAAATTCAGTATCCTCCAAATGTGGAAATCAAGCCTGACGTTCAAAAAATTGTCGGATCTGATAAAGTAAATAATTAATCACACTTTGATTATGTAGTTAAATACTATTTTTCGAAATTCCAGGTTGAATTCGTTGATGGATCCTGTTGTCGTTACAACGCCATACTTTTCTGTACAGGTTACAGATACAGCTTCCCTTTCCTTAGCGACTCCTGCGGACTCACCGTTGACGACCACCACGTCCGACCCTTATATAAACACATAATCCACATTGACAGACCTACTATGTGCTTTATTGGAATACCTTATGAAGTGTGCACTTTTCTAATGTTTGATTTACAAGTAAGAATCCCATTAGTACCCAGTTTCAAGTTATAATTGATTGTTCAATGAATTCCAGGCCAGATACGTTTGCAAATACCTCACTGGTGACATGGACTTGCCCTCAAAAGAAGAAATGCGATTGCACACAGAAAAAGATGTGGAAGACCGTATAGCAAAAGGTTATACAAAACGTCAAATGCATATGATGGGGGTAGGGCCAAATCAACAGGCGTACTACGATGACTTGGCTCAGGAAGCAAATGTAGCAACAATTCCTTCTGTAATGGTCAAAATTTGGGAAACAGCTATACACAGGCTGTTGAGTGACTTTATTAATTTCAGAGGGGATAAGTATAGGATAGTGGATGAAAATAACTTTGTACAAGTAACAAATTAAATAGTGGTATCCGTGTTTATCTAGAAAATAGCATTTTTTTATGGTTGAAATATGATAATTGTATTCCATACTACAAAAATTGTTAATGGATGGTTCTGGTGCTGACTGGGTTGACACAGACCCTCGCCTTTTGCATATTGTTTGTAGAATAAAGAAAATGCAATTTTGTATTATTTATCTTCCTTATCGTTTGCTTAACTACTCTTTTTCCAAATTTAATTTGCGATTAGTCTTGGAAAACATAATTGAAGCAAGTATTTTTTCGCGAATAACCGAATAAAGTTAGGTATTCCATATTCATTCACATCAGTGTTTGTAACTTGTATTTAAATTTGTTCTTGTTTATTCCTGCCACTAATGAAAGTATCATCAGCAATAGTACGGTTACAGAATAAACTCCATAGTTGTCTATAATCTGATGAAAAACTTTTGCCACTGAAGGATGCCAAATGGAGAAGTTTTATAGACAAATCTAATAGAAGTTTTGAAGATACGAAAAACCTTTGGAGCAAACTAATTTTTAAAACGAAATTCCAGATTTTTTTTTGGCTAATATTTCTTCAAATGATAAAATTCCGTCTTTACAAGTTCATTGACGTTGAAATTTCTATAATCTACACAACCTTAAGGGCCGGTTTATTCAGCTTCTAATAAACTATCAGGTATTCAATCTGACGGATAAAACCGCAATCTCTAATCCCATTGGTCGGCAAGTTATCTGCCGAGAAATAAAATTATAGAACGGTAAATTTATTTTGCAGAGAGTTGTCAGCAAGTTTAACAAAAGTAGGGTTCATTGATGTTCAAGAAATTTCTTGTTCTTGACTTGATCTTGACTTGAATTCAAGAAAATTTCAAGTAAAGAAACCTGAAACTATTTTCAAGATTCCCTATTTCAAGATTAGGATTTCTTGTCAAGAAACCAATAAATTCTTGAATTTCTTGAAATACCTAAACAGTTTTACAAGTGGCTGTAATAGTACAGGGTGTCCCAAAAAGATACCGACAAACTTTAAGGGGTAGTAGAGGACATCAAAACAAGCATTTTTGTTTATATAATAGTATATTGTTGTATTAGGAGTAGAAGCTTTACTTTTTTGTGCTGAAGCAGTAGGTTTGCGAGCCGAACGTAGTGAGGCTTGCAATACTGCTGAAGCACAAAAAAGTGCTTCTTCTCCGTACGCAACACGCTATTTTTTCTCCAAACGAATGTGGTAAGCTCGGGGGTAACTGGATGGTTGAGCGGCAGTAAAAGTACGAGCGGCACTAAAAGTACTTTTACTGCCGCTCCAGCGGCACCAAAAGTACTATTGCTGCCGTTGGGGTTGCCAAGCAGCATAGAAATTAAATTTCTACCACCTCGACAGGTGTTAACGTCCTGGATTTGCCTAGCAACATAGAAATTGAATTTCTACCATCTTGACAGGTGTTGACAAAGTGATGTTTTTTTGACGTTTGGAGAAAAACATATGTCCGCAAATGAGCCATTTAGGCTGTAGAGCAAAAAAACTGTTTGGTACCTAGTTTTATTCCTCGCAATAATTTAATCACTGTTTACCTATTAATTTTGCTTTATTAACAAATAAATTATGGTTTACAATAATTGCTCAACTCGCGAACTCTTTGGAATATTCCGGGAATTGCTTCTACATGGGTACAACTCGCCAGTATCCTTCACGGAAAAAACACTCCACTATAGTAAAGAATAGTAGCGTTTGCCCAAGAATATATTCGTTTTACTATTCCACAAGAAAATATAATATTTAATTCTAGTATTGCCCTATTCTTAAGAATTGAAAATAAGTTCAACTTATATTCAGAATACGGTAGTGTCGAATTCGATAATAGCCTAGTAATTGTCTAAAGAATAAGGTAGATTTGATGATCAAGTATTGTTATTCTTATTCGGAAAATTACTTATAGTTATCACAAAAACTACAATTAATTTCCAAATATTTCTTATTCTTACTTCAAAAATAACCTCTTATTGTTTTAATTACTTACCTACCTGTGTACTTACTATTAATATTGAAACACAGTTTACTCTGAAGTATATTTTATTCTTCAAATTCTTGTTTTAAAAATTGATATAATATATAAAGGTATAAACCGATGGAATAATAACAAAAAAGTTAATTGTGATAAGTACAATAATAATCATAGATACATTTATTTATTAATTATTCACATACCACTGGAAGGTTGGGAAAATCCCTCGAAAAATCCGTTATAGATGTTGCATTTTCTTTACTTTTAATGCTATTTTTGTACCGATTCATTTTCTTTGCCAATTTTAATCTAACCTCCATTTTGGGAATTCGCTCTTCACTTTGTTCATCATTCATATTCATCCATAGTCCAAGTCAATTTCATTTCCTAAAATTAAAAATAATGTTTTTATAGGTACTTTGTCAACAATTTATCCTAAAGCAAAAGGCAAATAGATTGGATAAGGTACTTCTACATGATGAAAGGTAACACGCGGTTTAAGTTTTTACCTAAATGATGGCCACCCACGTCCACAATGCCTAATAATTTTTTGATGTTTTTTTCCCGGAAATTGAGTAGGAAAAGTTAAACTTACCTTCAAATATTGAAATTAAACATTCCAAATCCCATTTCTTCAACAAAAAATCCTTTTTATCACGAAAAACACTGTAAAAACACAGGAAGCGTCGTGTGGCGTCTCTTCAACCAAACTTCAACTTCATGTTCAATGGAATGGATGGGAGAGACGGCAACGCGAAGCAAAGCACAAAGGTGACCTATATTTGATAAAATATATTTAGCTTCCTAGATATAGGAAGCTATGGTGATAGCCCGATTTTGAACATGTCAAAATTTCATTAAATCTTGACGTTTTGGATCATTTTAAGCCTTTTTGGCAAGGTGGCACATTTCCGTCTGTGTGTATGTATGTATGTATGTGTGTGTGTTGGCATTTTTCTGAGAAAACGGGTCGATGGAATTTGATGAAATTTTGGAAATAGGTATAAGAAGACGTGTAGGGAAAAGTTACGGAGAGAAAAAAAAAAAAAAAAAAATTAAGATTAAAAAAAAAAATTAAAAAAAAAAAAAAATTAAAAATCTCAATAGGTTTCATTAGGACATTTTTGGAAAAATTAAGTATAAATTTGATGATAAGCTAATAAGCAGCGCCGACCACTTAAAAATTTACACGACGTTGCTTTTTTTGAGATTATAGCGTTTAGGGTGCTGATTGAAGATTTAATACGCCGGCTTGAGGTCCCTTTTCAGCAAAACACTTTATATGCCTTTATGGGGGTAAACTTACAAAAGGACCTTTAGGGTTTTTCACTTATAATAATAAAAATAATAATAATAATAATAATTATTAATAATGAAATAATGACAGCGAATATTTTCCCATGTTAATCGTATATATGGTTGGGCATGCTAATTTTTGATACAAACGGTTGCTGACGCTAGCAACTATTTATTTGTATCAATACAAAAAAATATGGACGCTGTTAGCAACATATTTTTTGCATTTTCATTTTTTATTCGTGAAATAATCCTTTAAGTAAATACCAATCAAGCTTTAAAATGATCAAAATGGACCAGATAATTTTTCACTCATGCGTGTTTTCTTTGCAAATTTCACTCGTCCTAAGGACTCGTGGACTCGTGAAATTATAGAAAACACGCAATCGTGAAAAATTATCCGTAATTTTGAAGCTCTCGTGGTATTATGTGGTAGGTATTAACGCCGAAAAATGATATTAAAACCTGAAATAATGTCAAGATTTATCAAAATGAATTCATGGTTCGAAATGACAATTAATGACAATGACAATCATTAATTAGGTAGTTATTTGTCTAGGAAGCGTTATGTCAAAAATTTGACATCTGGTTTTTATTCTTGATTTAAATGAAAAATAATTGAGATGAATATTTAAAGAGTTTCATAATAACATTAAGCAAATATTTCAATGTATAATAAAGTATTGTTTTACTAAGTATATTATTACTGGATCAAATATAAAATTATAAGTATATTACTACTCTTGGATATAGAATTGCATTTTTTTTCGTGTTGCTAACAGATCTTCCTCATTACGAACAGGTGTTTCATAAACTAAACTTTTCAGTCAATGACCCGACGGTGTAATCTTTGCATTAAAGTAAGTGGTCAACATTTTGAACAATTATTGTAAACCATAATTTATTTGATAATAAAGCAAAATTAATAAGTAAACAGTCCTCTACAGCCCAAATGACTCATTTGCGGACATATGTTTATATAAACAAAAATGCTTGTTTTGATGTCCCCTACTACCCCTTAAAGTTTGTCGGTATCTTTTTGGGACACCCTATATATTGAAAATCCAGTTGCAGGCTGCCACAATAGACTCCTGCAACGCGAGTCTTTTCCCGATTTTGTATTAGAACGTTTTTAGTTGGATATTATACTCGTAAAATATGTTAGTTGGTACCATTTTACTAAACTAGCAGATCTTTCTAATTTTCGAGCAGGTAGAACAAGTACTGGGTTCTGCAATTTGGAATGTTTTAACAGGAAAAACATAATTCCAGACCAGATATAGAGAAAAATTGACTTAGATGTCATGAAATCGATATCCGAGAAACTTCGATTGTCAAAAACCGTATCGCGATATCTTCAATGGTACCATTGGCTATTTTTCAGAATACAGAACTAATTGAAGATATGGCGATACGGTTTTTGACAGTCTGGAAGTATGTTTTTCTTGTTAAAACACTCCAAACTAACCCAACGCGTTTCCAAAGTGTTTTCGAGAGCGACGTATAGAAAAACAAAGATAGCTGATTTTCAAGCAATTTCAAGAAATTTCAAGATATCTTGATTTCAAGTCAAGACTTTTGCTTTCAAGAGCCCATCGAGTCAAGACATGTTCAATTTCTTGATCCTGAATTTCAAGTCAAGTCAAGAAATTACGTTCAAGTCAAGCATTCTTGTCTTGATGAAACCCTAAACAAAAGATGTAACAAAACTACCTTTATTACTTGTTTTTACCAGTCATTATTGGCACATATTTTTTGAAAGTAGCCAATATAGTGCTGGATATGCCCAATAATCCTTGGTGTTATGGTGATTCTCCGACATTAAATATTCCTTTATTTCTGATAATGTCGCTATT